GGACTCCGCCACGTGCCGACAGCCCGGACTCAGAAGAGCTTCCATGCGAGTTCTGCGCCAACATGGTGCCCGCCTCGCAGCTATGGAGACATCAGCTGAGCTGTACGGCGGCCGCGTAACAATCCCCTGGTTTCCACGTGTAAACCCGCATTATTTTTTTATTTTTTTCGTATTTACCTTAGGAATTGGTTTGCTCGTCTATAGTGGCTATTGGCCAGTCAGATTGGACTTTAAAAGGCCTGTTTCGGGCGCTAAATGCTTGAGGGTTGACGATTATTGGAAGCTGTTCGGAAGGATGTCTGAATATTTAGTTTTTTCTGTATATTCGCGAGTTTAAAAGTCCAAACGCTCCCTGGTGGCGAAAATTGTAACCACAAGTTAACTTGTAATTTGGCACTTGTTTTGTTGACGTTGGTGTCTACATCTAATTGTGATTTGTTTCGATCTAAGCAACTTTTGCAAGCTTTTCATTGTTGCTTTTCTTCATTCATTCGCATTCATTTTTGTTACAATTACAACTCACTTTTCGCTTGTCTACCAACTTCAATAGATAGGCAGGTCTGACAAGTCTCAACTGTCACTCGGTAACGAGTAATTTGACGTTTCGCAACGCTCCCATCGGTAGTTCAACTCGCGAATTCAACCCATTGCGGTGTTGCCACGTAGTTTTGCGTTTCCTTTCGGTTATTTTTGAGTTTATTTGTTTTAGTATGGTTGAAGTGATTTTTTTTATGAAACAAAAAATATACAGAAAGTAGAATCTTCAGCAGAATTGCATGCTCTGCTTAAAAATTCCTCATTTTCGATCTACAGCAAGTCGCGACATGAAAGTTTCGCAATCGATAGGAAACACTTGAGCGTAAAAATCCTGAAAATTTTAGTGAAATCGATCAACAACTTAATTTTTTTCGACTGAGTAAATTGGGCTGGAAATTAACGCTTCAACCGAATCGCATCCTCTGCTTTAAAAAAATCCTCATTTTCGATCTGATGCAAGTAGCGACATGAAAGTTTCGCAATCGATAGGAAACACTTGAGCGTAAAAATCCTGAAAATTTTAGTGAAATCGATCAACAACCTAATTTTTTTCCACTTTGTGAATATTGGACTGAAAATTAACGCTTCAACAGAATTGCATCCTCTGCTTTAAAAAATCCTCATTTTCGACCTAAAGCAAGTAGCGACATGAAACTTTTGCAATCGATAGGACACACTTGGGCGTAAAAATCCAAAAAATTTTCTTGAAATCGATCAACCTAATTTTTTTCGACTGAGAAAATTGGGCTAGAAATTAACGCTTCAACCGAATCGCATCCTGTGCTTTAAAAAATCCTCATTTTCGATCTGATGCAAGTAGCGAGATGAAAGTTTCGCAATCGATAGGAAACAATTTCCAGCAACTTAAAAAGTTTTGCGCAGTTGGGCAACACCGCTCAAAATTTAGCCGGTAAATGGCGATTCTCCTCAAACTTTGTGAGGGTTTTTTGGCGAATTTTATGGACTGTCCAGGATTCTTTTGCTGAAACCGCGCAATTTAAAGCGTTCTTTGAGCTCAAGCAAGAAAACACTAAATATCCAGAACCTTCCCATCATCTTTCACCTTCGCCCGTTCAGTGCCGGGGAGAAATCGAATCCGGCTGGACTACTGTAGCGTGGGACGACTTGGATTGCTCATGTATAGGAAATATTAATGAACTAATGAATAACTCTGCCAATGTATGCCTTAAAGTTTGCTTAATTATATACAATACAAGTATTTAACTGATAGTTCCTAGGTCTAGAGGGTGTTTTTCCGGTGCTTTTTGGCCTTGGCGCCCTTCAGAGCGCCGCTCTTCGCGCCCTTGACCACGCTGGCCAGCTGGCCGATGCCCTTCGCCCTCTTCCTGCGGTTGAGCGCGCTTCGCTGCAGCGGCAAGTAGGCGTACGGATCGAACTGCCCCTTTCGCTTCACGTCGCCCGCCGCCTTCCTGCTCTTGTACTCGCCGCCCGTCGAAACGCCGCTCTTCACGGAGGCGGCGGCGTGGAGCGGCCGGTGGATTCCCACGCCGCCCGTCTGGTAGCTGAAGCCGCTCTTCACCGACATGGCGCGCTTCCGCTTCCGCCCGGCCACTTGCAAGGCCTGGGCGACGCTGCTCGCCTCCTCCTCACTGTCCGAGCTGTCCGAGTTTTGGTTGATYKGGGGTTTGTGGTCGTCGTCGCTGTCCAGGTGGTCGTCCTTGATGAGCAGCCGCCCGTCGGCGGCTGTTTTGAAGCCGCGGTTCTTGTCCGGGGCGGGCGCCGCCTGCGCGCCCGCCGCCTTCCTCGGCTTGGTGGCGCGCACTTTTCTTGCCACTGCGGCGTCGGTGAAGTCGATTATCGTCTCGGCGTCCTCCTCGATCCACGCGCCCGCTGGCTTCTTGGACTTTTGGGCGCTGTGCGCCCCTTCCTCCCCCTCCAGCTCCGAGTCGCTGTCGGCCAGGATCTCCTCGATGCTCTTGGGCTTGGCCTTGACCAGGAAGTCCTCCAAGCTGGCCGCCTCCTCCTCCTCGCGGCTGGCCTCTTTCGCCTGCTTCCGCTTGCGGTTCTTCCTGTCGTTCAGCTTCCGCAGGTTCCGGATGCGCTTCAGCATGGTTTCGTCCGTCGGCGCCACAAACGGCGTGAGGCTGTCGGCGCCGTACTTCCGGACGAGTCTGTCCAGGAGGTCGCGCACTTTCAGCCGGAAGTGGCGCTGGCAGTCTTCGGTCATCCCCGTGAGGGCCCTCATGACGGTGTCCAGCGAGGCCTGCACCATCAGGGAGGGCAAAGCGCTGCAGTAAACCTTCACGAAGCTCAGGCAGGAGGTGACGATCTCCCTTGCGGGACAGCTGGACAGGGTGGCGACGTTGTCCAGGATCAGCCGGATGTTGTCCTGGCCCAAAGCGCCGGTGAAGTTGTGGAGCACGGAGGCCAGGGCCAGGATGCTGCAGGAGATCATCGGCGGGCTGCCCGCTAGGCCTGCCGTCATCAGCAGGACGAACTGCTGCATCTGGTCGTGCCCCATGAGGGTTTCGCCCACCGTGTTGATGAGCTCGAAGGCGATCTGCCGGCACTTTTCGTTGATGTCCTTGCAGCAGAGGATGGCCTCGGGCACGACGCTTCTGATCAGCTTGCTGTCTTGGTCCAGCTGGGGCTGCGCCTTGATCAAGTGGTTGAAGCAGCGCAGTCGGGCGCCCTTGCTGGACGTGGCCGCTGTGTTCAAGCTCTTGCCCAGCAGGCGCTGCACGTCCTTGCGATTGGCTCTGACGAACTGCTTGCAGCCCTCTGATTCGCTGGACACGATCTCCTCTAGGATCCGATAGGCCTTCTTCTGCTCCTTGTTGTTCTTGATGGCCGGCAGGTTCTTCACGCACTGCTCGTAGATGATGGCGATGCTGTCGGCGCCTTGGTAGGGGATCAGCGTCTTGATCAGATCCAGGATGGACTCCTTGATGAAGTGGTCTTCTGGCTCGTCGCTGGACGCGTTCAGTCGCTCCAAAGCGTTGCTGAACAGCTGCTGATTGAGTTCGGGCCGGGAGATCGTCAGGTAGAGCTTGATGGTTTCCAATGCGGCCAATCGCTGGCCCTCCTCATCGGAGCCGATCGGTTTTATTGTGTAGATGTTGAATAGGATGGGCAGGTAGTTCTTGTCGAAGCGCCCCAACTCGGCCAGATCGGCTGAGTTTTCTGATTTTTTCGCACTGAGGATCAGCTTGCGAAGGCCCGCCATCACGGCGAGACGCAGCTCTTTGCGATCGGACACGGCCATGCCTGCGGCAAATGTGTTGGTTAATAACAGCGGAAGAAGGAGATAAATGAAGATAAATGTGCAGCTGTGAAAAGTGGATAGGATTCTGAGGCTGGAGGAGAAAAGGCTTCTGAGCCAGTGCAAGCTTTCCTTTTGTATTTAGAAAGTGGATTTTTGCTTTTTTTTTGAGAATGAAATGTGGGTCGCGAAACACGCAATGACCTGCTCTGCTTGAAATATTCCGTATTTTCGGTCGAAAGCAAGTTGCAGCTTCAAACAATTGCGATCCATAGTTGCAGATCCAAAATTGCGCTGAAAATGAACGGTTTCGCACAATTGCATCTTCTGCATGAAAAATTCATTATTTCCAATCTAAAACAAGCTGCGACTTGAAACTTTGGCAATTCAAAGAAGACACTCGAACGAAACATTCCAGAAAGTTTCATTTAAATCGCACCAAAACCTGATTTTCTTCGATTTGGTGAAAATTGGGCAAAAATGAACGCTTTTGCACAATTGCATCTTCTGCATGAAAAATTCATTATTTTCAATCTAAAGCAAGTAGCGACTTGAAACTTCCGCAATTCAAAGAAGACACCCGCGCGAAACATTCCAGAAAGTTTCATTTAAATTGCACGAAAACCCGATTTTCTTCGACTTCGTGAAAATTGGGCTAAAAATGAACGCTTTCGCACGATTGCATCTTCTGCATGAAAAATTCATGATTTCCAATCTAAAGCAAGTAGTGACTTGAAACTGTGGCAATTCAAAGAATACACTCGAACGAAACATTCCAGAAAGTTTCATTTAAATCGCACAAAAACCTGATTTTCTTCGACTTGGTGAAAATTAGGCTAAAAATTAAAGCTTTTGCACAATTGCATCTTCTGCATGGAAAATTCATGATTTCTAATCTAAAGCAAGTAGCGACTTGAAACTTTGGCAATTCAAAGAAGACACTCCAACGAAACATTCCAGAAAGTTTCATTTAAATCGCACCAAAACCTGATTTTCTTCGGCTTCGTGAAAATTGGACTAAAAATGAACGCTTTCGCACAATTGCACCTTCTGCATGAAAAATTCGTGATTTCCAATCTGAAACAAGCAGCGACTTGAAACTTTGGCAATTGAAAGAAGACACTCGAACGAAACAGTCCAGAAAGTTTCATTTAAATCGCACCAAAACCTGATTTTCTTCGGCTTCGTGAAAATTGGACTAAAAATGAACGCTTTCGCACAATTGCAT